AACACTTATTCTACTAAGCACTTTTATGTATGTATTCATTTCTTCAGACAAATTTTACCTGCATGCCTGTTTTTAACCCACTTACCAGGTCTTTTATCAGATGTTGTGGGACACAGCCTCGGACACCCCACTGGGGGAGACCCCATGCATTTTCTTTATTTCATTTAAAAAAAATGAACCCTTAGATGCATAAGTGGGTCTTTTTTGACCCGGTGAGGTGGTATTCTTGAAGTATCTTTGTAATTACATTTTTTTATCATTTCATATTCCAGCTATTCCTCAAAAAACATGTTCTGGATATCATGCCATTCAAATTTTTTATTTACATTTTAAGAAATTGTAGTTTTCGTATTACTACCCCAAGCTTCCATAAGTGGGTCAAAAATGACCCGCATGCATTTTCTATGGAATTTAGTTTTCTTCTCAAAATGTAAAAAAAAATTATAAAATTATAAATTGTGAAAAATTAAATATAAAATATTTCTAGTGTGAACCAAAATATAATACTAAATATTATACAAGTGATTTCTCTTAACCAAAATGACAAAAATGGCATAAAAACACATATTATTCTAATACGGGTCCTTTTTGAACCACCTATGGAAGAGTGTAGGGTCCAGTCACTCGTGCATCTAAGGGCAGACCAAACAGGGCTTTTATAAACTTGTATTGGTTTTACTCCAGGAGTTTTTAAATAGGTTTTTAAACAAAAAATATTTAACCGAGAGCCCGTGCACCACGCTGCGTTCCCCAAAACCCTAACCCCAACTCAACACTCTTACAACAGCAAACTGACTCAACTTATATAAAAATAAAAAAAGAATATAACGATAGTAATAAACATAAAATGTGTTCTTTGCATACGCTTTTTTCCAAGAAACAACAACAATTGCACTCATAATTATGTTGTCAGTCCTGACACTAAACACATTTATGGAGCGTGTTGAACATTATTATTGTCTTTTTTTCAGCACAACAACTCCTTAGCCTTCAGTAGCTCTTTTTTATTGTACTCTTAACCGTGCCCTCAATGTCCACCCCCATTACTAAAGGAATGCCAGAGTGAATTCAGACTTCTCCACACAAAAGGCTGATTCAGCTTTGGCAATTTGAAACGATAATAACAAAATATACCCTTGGGCGTTTGAGTACATAACAATTGTTGCTGCAGCAAATGTCCAAAAACATTATCTTGCAGGGAGGGGAACACATATTTTGCACAAGATGACTCATTCAAATGGCATCAATAATATTTGTCAAAAGACGAGCATCACACACTGTGTTTATGAAGGCATGTTTGTGGAGGGTCTTTACGTTTTAACCCCTGCCACAACTATTCATACACCTCATTGTATTAAGGAAGCAAACATGGGTTTAAATGTAACGCTAACAAAATTGCATTCTTGGAAGAAAACATACACGTAAACAATACTTTCGTTCTATGAGTGTGACTCTGAACCTTCCACAGTATAGGTATTTAATAAATACAGATTGAAACATTGGCAATCTTTTCAGCGAGAATTTGAAACTTTACTTGTATTCTGTTTTTTATTTTGCTATATGCTGCCCCAGTAATGCCATTTACAAAAATGCACAAGTCTTTATGGAATTAATACTTCAAATACAGGTATCTCAGACCCTATTTTCTTCTTTTAGTGACATATTTTCTCCTGAAGTGTCAAGCATTGTAATTCTTCTATGTTTTCTTAAAGGAAGCTTAACTTCTTAAAGCATTGCCCAGATTCTGGCTGATCTAAATAGCATGGTCAGCAGAACGACCTTCATGACACTGTGCTGGGCAGAGCTGGAACTGAGAGCTATAATTATAGAGTTGATTAAAAATGCAATATGAAAATAAACCAAGCTTATCACCCACACTTGCCCTTTGGAAAGCAACACTTTCCAATAATATCAGGATAAAGTGAAACATTTAGATTAGTGTCAATGAGTTTACATGAGAAACCTGCATTCAAATGATGGTGACAGCAGTTTAACTCTAATTCATTACTTGAGAATGAGTCATCGTGGCTACTTAGTTATCTGTTGCGTTTATATCTGATGAACTGTATACCTGATGAGCATTAAAATGAGTCAATAAATTGCACCACACTTCATTATGACACATTTTCCTTTTTGAAAAAGACAAGACACCTCAGAGTAGCTTTTCAGCCAAATACCTAAATCAAACAATGGTGATCTCCTTTCCCTTTGTTCTAGTGGTCCCCGACCTCAGGTTGAAAGATTAGAGCAAAGGTCTGGAGCAGTGCCAACTTGCTGCAAGGGATATAATTAGCCCCAGGGGGCTTTTTTGCACCTGAAACCCTCTTTTCCCTTCCTTCATAACTAATTCACAAGACCTTGGTTCTCCTTTGGCATCTAAAAGTAAGCCTTCAAGCCATTAAAAAAACGCCTGGAAGGGTTAAGTTCACCGTCCAATCTCCTTTCTGAGCTTTTTAACCTCAATATTTGTTTGCAAACGTGTTAACTGTTTTCTCTTTAATTGCATTACTCTTGCACTTTGAGTATTGGCTGAAATTAATGAAAGTAAAACCAAAGCCTTCGTTATGTATTACAGATTTTCTTTTTGTTAATGAGCAGGTCAGGTTATTTGTTGCTGCTTCTTTTTCGCCTTTCAATTAAAAGTTGAACAAAATCACCAAAAAAGAAAAGCAAGAGTATTGGTTATTTGGCAGTGATAAAGCCATTTGTCTATGTGTTAGTCAATATTTATGTTATGTTATTTCAGAGCCTATTAAAGTCGAGTGGGGAGACGTTCCTCCGATATGGCACATGGAGGAGTTTGGGCTGTTATTGAGTTATGGAAGATGGAAGAGAGAGTTTTAGATTTATTCTGCTGTCAGCTCAAAGAAGGGAGGCTGCATATACAGTGTGTGTGTGTGTGTGTGTGTGTGTGTGTGTGTGTGTGTGTGTGTGTGTGTGTGTGTGTGTGTGTGTGTGTGTGTGGACTGGTCGGTGGGTGTGTAGGCTAAGCATATTGTGTATATGCTTATGCATTTGTGTGTGTGTACCCATAGGTGTGGGGCCGTAGCTGTCTTCCAAGTCGATAGACACACTCTGTCACCACTGGCAAGTAATTGACAGCTTGGATTTTGCAGTGACAAGGGCCTTGCATATATTTCCTCCATTACCTTGTGTGTGTGTCAGCCTGCAGTTCTCCCTGGCAGCGCACTCAGGAGTCAGCTAGCTCGGCAGGGGATTAAACAAACACCTTCTATTTGGGATTATGGGGAGGAATGATAAACTCATTCACCCTCAATCAGCCAAATAGGTCAAAAAGGCTTCCTCTTTCTCATTGCTTATTTAAATAGAGTAAGGCCAACTACTGCGCTTCCTGATGTTGTACATTGCTATCGGTCCAACGTCAAGCATTTGAAAATAATTTGTTTCTTTGTTTTAATTACTTTGAGTAGTCAAAGTAGGGCTTGCCAAATCAGGAAAGCACAGTAAGAAAAAACTCCCAAGGATACTAAGGAACATTGTCGAATCCTACGTACACGTCATTGCATTTAGTTTAATGGCTGAATTGGGGACAGTGGAGTAATACACATCTACCAATCAGAGGGTCAGCGGTTCAATCCCACCCCCTGCAGTTAACATGGTGAAATGTCCTTGGGCAAGATACTTAACCCCAAATTGCTCGTGGTAGGTTGCTTCTGATAAAAGCGTAAGCTAAAAAACACAATAAATTGATAAACACATTGCCAAATAGCTCAATAAAACTCGGGAACACACACAATGAATTCTTCTCTTCCTTCTGCGGTTGATCAGGCGGCAAAGTTTCCTTGGAAAGCTCGATGTCAGAGCTGTAAAACTTTGAAAGATTTCAACGAGTATTTTGAAAGACGGACAGTAGTGGAAGGAAGGAAAGTGTAGTTGCATTTCCAGCCCTCTGTAGAAGTACCCATAATTATTCACTCATATCAATTTGCAGGAGGCCCGGCAGCCAGAGAAACGTTATGCCGCAATTTGTCTTCCCCTCTCTCTTTTTTACTCTTGCTGCCTTCTCCCCTACAAATCGTTAGTTTCACTTTTCATTAGGCTGGATCAATAGGGCGGATCAGTCGCTCGTGGCAAGGCTACTGCATGGCAGACGCCGCTCTCTCTCCAATGTTTTTCTTTCTCCCAATTCCTCTTCCCTTTTCTTCTGCTCATTGTCATTGACTCTGGCCTTTTTTTCAGCACTCCTTCAGTGAGGGAGCTTGTGAGAGGCAGCAGAAGACAGAAAGCAGCAGGAGGCTTCGGGGCCCCAAGTGACGTTAGCCGACGATTGCACTTTTTCTACCCGGTAAGGCAGAAATGGATAACCCAATAAAGTAGAATTAAGAAACAGTAACCTATCAACATGTAGTAATAATGAAATGGAGGCTGTGTGCAGTGGAAGGTAATGAACATAGTAATGTAAGGGTTCTCTAATGTTAAACCTTATTGACACTGTCGGACAAATTGGAAACATTAGCATTGATTTCATTCCTTTCTGATGGTTTTGATACAAAACACATCTTTTGTTCTCAGGTTATACTGTTGATATTTGATGATGTTTTGAGTAAGACTGCATGTGAACACCTGCGTTTTCAGTGTGCCTCTATTGATACTTGGTGTGCAATCGAAAAGCGAACAAGGACACACACTGTACACTTTTATTGTTGTGAAGCACCACTCCAGCTATGGCCTTTGTTAGTACTTCTGTCCAGTGTTTAGGCTGGAGAGGGTTGATTCGGCTTGAACAGTTGCTTATTTTCCCGTTTCCATTGAGAACACCTGGACGTTATATTCACTATCAAACAAAACACTGCTTTCCGTATTGATTCTGGTAGCATAATCATAATGTCATAATATATTGCAATAGCCAATGAGAGTGAGAAGTCAGTGACGCCAGTGAAGCCTTTGCCATGAGTTGTTTTACACTTCAGAGATCGGGGGTGGATGGCGCTGGTACATTAGTGTTGTTTGGACTGTGTGTGTGTGTAATGTGGACTCACCGAGCACAGTGAGGCGAGCAGGACTGGACCTCATGGCAGCCTGGACAGCCTGGCACTCAAACACAGCATCATCCATCAGCTCCACCCGCTGGATCCGCAAATGATGCTCTCCTGAACCGTGGTCGCCAATCACTGTGTAACGAGGATAGCCTGCAGCGCAAACACATTTGTTCATTTTAATCACATCCAAAATCAAAACATGACTCATTTTCCAAATGTGTAAGCTTTACACAATTATGGCATTAACAATTTAGATGTACTCTCAAGTAGGTTTTATGAAAACATGTACTTTAGGTTCAAGGTTCTTTATTGTCAATCTGACATAGCTACAGAGTAATTATGTAGTTGAAAATCTTATGTCACAGGCTTCTCCAACAATGCAACACAATAACATAATAACAATAAGAGCAAGAGCAATACAAAAAGAAAAATAGTTATAAAATAAAGTGATGATGTGGAATAGTGCAGTACGAGTCTATATACAAGTTATTGGAATGATATATATATATATATATATTAGGTATTAGATACATATTATTGAGTAGCTGAAGAATGTTTTGAAGTTGTTTCAACAGTTCAATTTTTTAACAGTCTCACTGCCCGCGGGTACTTTACTATCAAGTTGCATATGTTTACTGGCAAACACATTTTAATTTGCAAACACATTGAAACACACAATATTGGAATGAGTTTTTGCGTGTAATTGCATCTGCATAAGCACAAAATACAAACATTCACTAGGTGAGTATACTAACTTAATAGGTAAGCATAGCTTGTGATTGTTTATTTTCTAATTTATTCACAATGCATCCCCATACAAGATGAATACATAAATAGTATAATAACATTTTTTAAAGCACTCCTGGCAATGCTAATGAGCGGCTGCATTCTGCAGAATGATGCTTTACTGCAGCCATAAACAGGAACAGCTAGAGTTTGAGTTGTTTCAGCATTGCTCTGAAATGATTTATAGCTTAATAATGCAAGAAAGCAGAGCAATATCCAAGAGACCTGGGAATTTTACACAAGTCAAGCGAGATAGTTTTAACGATATCCCCCTAACTATTATCGAAAAATGCATTGAGAGTGTGTTGTGGAGTGCGTCCCTCCACCGGGGCAAATAAGCAGGAAGAAGAGTGTGTTTGACTTGAGAGCTTTATGGGGTATTTCTCATGCTTTTAGAATTGCTTGTCTCCGAAGATCCCTTTTCTTTTTCTTTCACTCCATCTCTCTAATTATTGGTGATACAGTATGTACAAAGAAATGAGAATGTCTGTCATTAAATATGCACTCCAAAAAATGTTACATATTCCCAGAAAAAAAAAAAGCTTTTTTCTCCAACGTTCCTTAAGTAATTGAACGATGATGAAGATAGAGGATAGGATTGGAGACATTTTTACAGTAGAATAAGGACAGCCTTATTTCAACTGTGTGCTTTGTAAAAGAAAAAGTCAAACGTTAGACACATGCCGTCTCCTTACAAAAAGGACTGTCAGTATTCATCCAACTGTTGGGGCACTGCCAGCAAATGTTGGGGAGAAAAATATCGATATTCCAGTAACAGCTATCCAATGACTCATGTTCACTTAAGAGATCCCCAAACACTCCAGTCTTTCACTGTTAAGGTTTTACAAGCTGCTTATATGTGTTAGCGTCCACAAAGAACATAAGAGACTGTGCAGCCTTGAAACAGCTTTTTAAATCCTTGAGTTTTTCTTCTGCAAAAACCCATCGTATGCTCAAAGTCCAATTACCGGCTATTGCTTCATTGAATCCAGTTGCCTTTAATAGAGCATGAAGTGGGCCTCATTTTGTGCTGGTGGGGTGAGTTACAGCCGATTAAGCCACTCTTTGCATTTCATCTTCCTACGTGTAGCCTTTAATCTTAAGGGTCTATACCGTGGGAGGACAAAAAACTGCCTAGACATACATCAAAAAGGGTGGATAAAATAAAGAGGAAGGCAAAAAGCTGACTGAAAGTTGGAAGCTGCAGCAGTGGATGTTTCAGGGGAAAGACAGACAGGTGATACAATGTCTCCTTTCTCTGAATTTCACAGTACTCTGCAATATGTCCTACACTAAAAGGGCTTCAGTAGCACAAATTATAAATGTAACAGGGTTATTATAGACGTGATAACTGAACGCTTCTATTAATACACTTAATAGCCATCGACTGAACAATGCTTTCTACTTTATTATGTTTAGAATCCTGCCCTAAAATAGAGGACATTACATTATGTGCACAAGGTCACAGAGAGAACCATTTAGCTTAAATGTTCTCAATGTTCATTGATGAGATTCAAAGCAATAATGCCATTGCGCCATTGTGGATCACAAGGGTAATGATTATTGTACATTATGAATGCTGTGACCTTGAGATGACTCCATTCTACCGAGCGAGAGCTCATTGCATGTTCCCCAGAAACACAATATACGTCAGATGCACTTTTGTTTTGCTTGTTTTAATTGTTGCAAGGTATAAGCCATGTAACACAAACAGATGATCTGGCCAATTATCTCATCTGTGCCTCTGGCAAACTAAGAATTTTTGTCGCCGCGTTAGGAAATGGCTCTGCTCCAATTTCATCTCTGTGCATTAACTGGATCCAAACGGAAAAGTAATTTGCATTTGTGGCAGATAGTATTGATAAGAATATTACAATTTAATTTACAAACGACGGAAACGCAATGTTGATGTATTTCTCTTACCACACCTTTTTGTCAATATGACTACAATTATTCTGGCACGCATGAAGACTGATCACCTTTGCGCATGTGATGTGTACCTATGAAGGGCCATTGATCTTAGATCTCAGCGAATTTCAAAGACACATTGTGCTACCCAAAGCAAACAATGTAAAATAGGCCCATTAAGGAGTAATGAAACCATCAGAGGGGAATGGATTTGTCTTGAGGCTGGATCAATGGTGCACGTGCATGTGTGTGCGCATGTAGGTTTACAGACACTTGAGGCGTGGCCTAGTGATTTATTGCACTTACCTAGACCATGTTTCACACACTATATCCACCAGGGGCTAACAATAGGTTAGCTGCAGCTGTGAACAGGTGACCGGTGTTCAAATGGCTCTCAAATAAGAGTGACAGTGAAGGTCTGCTCACTGACAGATTCTCTTCTCAAGAGCTCATTCCTATATCCCAAGTGCATGACATTATGTAAACAAACACTTCTCTCTCCATCTTTACCGTGTGCGCATGAGAATTAACTGAAAGCTGCCTCGTCTGTTCGCACCATCACCATGCGTACCAGATATACGTTCTCCGCCATGCATATTCATGACATTGATTGGTGTGTTCTGAGCGGTTGTGGGCCTACTTTGCTTTCCTTTAATTAGAGTGGAAATGCATGACACAAAAGGGGAATGAATAGAACAACGCAGGGACAGATAGGAATCATTGGCTTTTGTGCCGTGATTCCTCGCACTGAATGGTGAAAGAGTTCTCTTGGTTTAATCACTTTTCCTGTGAATGGAGACAGGTCCCGGGCGTGGAACACCGTTGCCGACGCAGCTTCTTTCTATGAATAGCCGAGCAGACCTATATTATTGAAATGCTCCATGCAACATTTGATTCGTCGCACTTTTTATGTATACAGCTGCCACTTTCCTTTCATTGTGTACGTCTTGCGTTGGATGTGCCTTCACTCTTTTACTGCCGCGTGCATTGCTTGTTTATGTAGGCAGGAGTGATAAAAAGGACAGCTGTGGAGCTCTTTATTTAGAAAAAGTGTCATCCGTCCCAATAGAAGGCACTCAGCCCCCTGTCCGTATCATAGTGTTGATTTTAGCGACCTATATTTTCAAGGCAGGCAGCTATTCCTCCTCCTTCCAAACCCAGTGCACTTTTTCAAAAGATTTAAGAGAGAAAGATCACTCTGACTCTGCGCGGTGCCCCCGATTATTCAACCAAATAATAAGAGGAGAATAAGAAAAGGTCAGGATCACTGCATCTTGTTGCTTACTGTCAAAACTCTTCAGAGATGTGTTGTTACTTAAATGTTCTTGTGCGTAGCGACACAATGTTGTCTTTGTTTTATTCCATCCTTTTGTGTTCGGCCAACGTTGAAATGAGATATCATCTTGATCGTCTCGTCTTGTTAAATCAATAAATATAAGAGGATAAAAAACAACTCTACATCTCTGCCACGCTCTGACCCTAAAGAAATATTGTCTTTATTCCTTCCGCTCTCTCTCATTCTATCTCCAGCAATCATAAGTACTCTCCCTGTCTGCCTCTTTTTTTTGTCAAAGGAGACTCGCAGACTGCAGGACCATTGTTTACTGCAACCTTTCAGTCTCCCCTGGGCCTGATAAGAACCTGAAAAGGGAATAGGATGGCTTTACTAGGGCACTGTCAGCCACTGAGGTTTAATTACACACCGCATAGGCGACTGTGCGATTGTTAAAGGTCAGAGGGTAGAAGACCCCCAATCTCACTTGAAATACCGATCTAATCGTTCCTGATCAAAAGAAACCTATGTTTTCAAGAAGCGGCTGCAGTTTGGTCATTTTGTGAGTGTGCCTTGAATTGCAATTACTCTTGATTTCTTCATGGGTCACAATCGGCTGGTATGTGAGGCAATTAGAAAGCTCAACAATAAAGGCTGTGCCAGTAAAGAGTGAAGCATCCTACTGTGCGTAGAGTGCTGTGTACAAATGGATCTCTTTTTCAGAAGAATTTAATGATCATTTCAGTAAATGATGCATGGGTACTACGCTTTTATGGATTTTCTCATTCTCATGCTCAGTGATTCAAAGGTTGTAAATGTTTATTTAGAGGAGTGATGTGTTTCTTTGAAATGTGTCAAGGTCATGAATATACATTAAGCCTTTACTGATGGAACAACAGGCTACTAAATGACAGTGCAGTAGTCACTTTGACTCCAAATTAAACAATTAAGGCAATTATACACGAGGTGCGGTGTAATTAGAGGATGCCAGCTACTCTTCAAAAAGCCATTTAGCAGCCTGAAGCATCAGAGAAAGACCGGTGCCACTATTGATTTCACCTTTTACTCCGATTGTTGTGTTTCTCTGCCAAACTAAATATAACAGATTTAGCGCTGCATCAAACACATTGACGTACATTATTTTTTCATTCTGTTTGGTAGTTTTGGAATATAACTAATGATGTTTCACATAACACTCCCAATGTCATATGTCTAATTACATTTTGTATCTGTCTAGGGAGTGATATATTAAGTGACATTTGAGGGCTTTAGATAACAAAAAGTGGGCATTTGAATATGACAGTGCATTTATTATACACTGAAGGTGATGGAGAAATAGATGGGGACATGCTTAAGGTGATAAATGCTGTTACTCACCAGCGAGGTCTCTGCCAACTCCCAGCGCCAGGCCATCTTTGATCCATAAGACAACGCCATGGTACCCGGGGATAGTGCATGGTAATGTCACAGGCTGGCCTGCCACCACCACTAAGTCCTGGGGCTGCTGGGAAAACATGGCCTGGGCACCTTTGGAAAACAAAGAAAAAGAGACAAGTTAGATTTCATCAAATCCTCAGGAAGAGTGCTAATGCTGCAGCACATTCCCCTAGTGGCCAAACACTGGAACTACAACTTCGGTGTCAGTCGTGTGATGCCATATGCTTTTCACCACCTAGAACGAACCCTTTAATATCCGTTATTCAAATTATTAGGTCTTAAAAGTTGTAAAATATGCTAAAATCCCATTTAAGAGTCAAGGTTGGCCATGATCGACGGAATTGATTAGGTGCGTGGCTTTATGAATAATAATAATAATAATTAAAGCTGCAAGCAGCGTTGAGCGGGTCTTCGACGCTCCGCAGGCTGTTGTCCGCACGTCGAGGTATCATGCAGGAGTTTTCCGGACTCGGCCGTTGGCAAACGTGGGAAGTTTCAGGCCGATCGGACAACGTAAATGGGAGTTACAGCAGTATCATACAGTAAACATTGTGTTTGATGGCGAGTGATCTATCGCCATGGCAACGGCATATGATGACATCCCAGAATTGGCGTAGAGCTGTTGAGGGGCGGACTAGTAGTCGTCATCTGAAGTCTGGTGCAGTTTGGACCATTTTCCAATGACTTAAGACAACATTGTGTTTTATGGCGAAGGATGCGTTGCCATGGAAACGGCATATGATGACATCCCATAATTGGCATAGTGTTGTTGAGGGGCGGACTAGTAGCCGTCATCTGAAGTCTGGTGCAGTTTGGACCATTTTCCATTGACTTAAGACAACATTGTGTTTTACGGCTAGGGATGCATTGCCATGGAAACGGCATACGGTGAGATCTCAGATTTCACCTAGAGCTGTTGAGGGCCGGACTACTAGCCATCATCTGAAGTGTGGTGCAGTTTGGAACATTTTCCATTGACTTAAGACAACATCGTGTTTTACGGCGAGGGATCCGTTGCCATGGAAACGGCATACGGTGAGATCTCAGATTTCACGTAGAGCTGTTGAGGGCCGGACCATTAACTGTCATCTGAAGTCTGGTGCCGTTTGGAAGGTTTTCCATTGAATTAAGACAACATCGTGTTTTACGGCGAGTGATTCGTTGCCATGGAAACGGCATATGATGACATCCCAGAATTGGCGTAGAGCTGTTGAGGGCCAGACCATTAACTGTCATCTGAAGTCTGGTGCAGTTTGGAACATTTTCCATTGACTTAAGACAACATCGTGTTTTACGGCGAGTGATTCGTTGCCATGGAAACGGCATATGATGACATCCCAGAATTGGCATAGAGCTGTTGAGGGCCGGACCATTAACTGTCATCTGAAGTCTGGTGCAGTTTGGAACATTTTCCATTGACTTAAGACAACATTGTGTTTTACGGCTAGGGATGCGTTGCCATGGAAACGGCATACGGTGAGATCTCAGATTTCACGTAGAGCTGTTGAGGGCCGGACCATTAACTGTCATCTGAAGTCTGGTGGCGTTTTGAACCTTTTCCATTGAATTAAGACAACATCGTGTTTTACGGCGAGGGATGCGTTGCCATGGTAACGCCATATTAAGTAACATAAACTTTGACGTAGAGCTGTTCAGGGCCGCAGTGTTAACCATCATGTGAAGTTTGGTGGCGTTGTGAGCATGTCAGTTTCAGTTATGACATCATCGTATTCCATGGCGTTTGATGGGCCTAGCATCGAGCGAACGCGAACTTTGGCGCCAAATAACGGCTGTGCCGTGCGAAAGAAAAAAACTTCCGTGATAACTTTTAATTGCCCATGTCTCGAGATGCTACCCGACGAATTTCGAGTCGTACGGATAAAGTCCCTGGGAGAAGATAGATTTCGTGCGGAGGACGAAAAACGCGATAAATTTCCGACTCCAAATTCAAAATGGCCGGCTTCCTGTACGTTATTTTACACCCCTCCAAGAGGCTTTTTGGTTTGTCTCCGCACCCTAGATATGCGTAGCGAGTTTCGTTCGTTTACGTGAAAGTTAAAGTGGGGGGAGTTTAGGTTAAAAACGGAAGTGGGCGTGGCCTACGCAATTTTTGACGCAAAGTTCCGGAACCAATTACACATCTGAAGTTGCACCACTTCTGACGCGCGTGCAACATTTGGTGAGTTTTCACATATGTTGCGGGGGTCAAAGGTTTATCGGTCTCAGACCCTAATAATCGGACCAATATCAATAATGTGCTAGTTTAACCGTGGGCTACCTACTGTCATGATTTAGGCCACTTTTAATGGGCTTTTACCCGTCTTTTTCCCTGTTTTTAGTGGGTTTTGCATGGTTATCTTTAACTTTAACTAAATTGATCGTAACGCCCACGTGACTGGGCTCGCGCGGACTATCTGCCGTCACTATTTCCGAACCTTTTCTGTGCTTTTGCCGGTCGTTTTCCCTGTTTTTGGGTGTTTTTTGCAGGCTGCGCGACCGATTTCAATAGGGTCTTCGCCGACCTATGGTCTCAGACCCTAATAATAATAGATTACATTTGTATAGCACCTTTCAAGGGACCCAAGGCCGCTTTACATGGTGAACAAACAAACAAACAAAAGGGGCAAATAATAAAGTAAAACATGTAATAAATAGCAGTAGGAGTGGAAGCAGGGGGACTGTGATGGGTTAGGGGTCAAAGGCCATGGTGAACAGGTGAGTTTTTAATGATGACTTGAAGATGTGAAAGGAAAGTGCCATGCTCTATGGATCAAATGGATGCCGAACACCGCGGGCAGATTGCTGAACGATCACCATAACATTGTTATACTTTTGTTCTCGTGTCAGGCTGTTTTGGCTTCATGCACCACTGAGTAACATTCACAGGAATGTGCGGGGCCGCATCACCAACGCTGTATCCAGTTCTCTTTATACATCCATGGATTTGACCCATTTAAATCACTACACCATTTCAATATAACGGAGGGGAAAAGGACATCACTCAAGACCAAGGAGGGGAATCAATGTGTCTTTACAAACACCTGCTCTCAACATTTCAAGTGTTGCATGATGGGAAAATGAAGCGAAGTGCACCATATGCACGCATTTCGACCAATTTCACTCAAACCTCTTGTCAGACTCACGTTGGAAGGACCCTAAAGGGTGACACACAAACGTGGCACATTCTTTCACTATTCATGATACGGAAACAAGATACTGTACACGAATCTGAGGTGTCAGCGCAGCGCCGGGACTGAAGCACGGGCAAAGAGACAGCCGTCACAGCTCGGCTTGGTTCATTTATGAAAGATGTCACTGTACAGATGGGCTGAGCTCTTACACACCACAGCAGATAACACGATCGTGTCTGCCAACACTGCTTTAGTGGCATACATTAACTCCAGCTCACACCCATGTATTCCAACTGTGCAACTGCTATTAGCTGCACTCCTCCACCGTGTGTTCAGGCGGAAAGTGGTGTGCAGTGAACTCCATTAGAGGCAGAGGGTGTGTTAATGGGGAGGGGGTACAGTGGCTGGTGAAGAGGTGCGGGTGGTGTTGTGGATCAGAGTGAAGGGTACAGAGTGGTACTGATGTATAGTTAGGAACACTGGCAGGCTGCCTGTCAACTAAAGCCTACACACACATATACACACTGACATGCATTCATACAGGCGCAGTCTGATTCGAGAGCGTGAACTGCAGCAAAGGTTTAAAAGTGTCACTTTCTGCCTCGCACTCTACTGAGACAGTTTTGTGAGCAGCTATTTCTTTTTTTAAACTTCTTAGATCCATTGCTGGGATCAGAATGTCTGCCTCGTTCTTGAACAACGTATTCTCTCTCATTGCTATGTGCAGCAGCACCAACACAGACACACTATTATGCTGAAATGAGCACGCACCATTTTTATTTTTTTTTAAACTTAATCATATGCAAATAAAAAGCTGATAGAAGAATAACATGTAATGAATTACAATAACAAGCGGAACAAAGAAAGCGGAGAATGTGAAAGCGTATTTTCATCTTACAACATCCTTGTATCATATTGCAGTAATCTTTTGCAGCTCTTTGTATGTTTGGTTTTATATTCAAAGGAAATTACTTATCCTATTGCAGACAAGGAAATTGATTAGCCTTGTTCTATGGTTTCAAAACACACCAGAGAAAAAGATTGTTGTCATACAAGAAACTGATTTTAATTCAGTTGGAAAATGCCATTAGAATCCCCACAGGTCATTTGTCAGCCTTGAACTGAATTTCATGTGATGGATAGCTTGTTAGAGATGTAGGCAGAAGTTTTCATATTGATTCATGCACTCTCCGTCCTCACACCAACACTGCACTACACACAGAAGCAACACACACACCTGCCACATTTTAATATATATCTATTATCAAACCAACAACAGGGATAAGATAACATCCTGCATCTCAAAGCATATAATGCATCATATTGAGACTCAACAGCTTCTGCCTGTATAACAAGGCCCTTCATAAGTGTACATGTATATTGCGGGTAATGCTGGCTAGGTGACACTTTATCTCAGCATAGAGTATGTTTTGCCCTTCAAACCTAGACAGCTTTGTTCGGCACTGACTGTGTTGCCACGTGAGGAGCTTATCTTGGCTGTACTCCGCTACACAGTGAGATGAAGCACGCTAACATATAGACAGCTACTCGACAGATCTCTTGGCATGTTCAGGAAAACCAATGTAAATGCCAGGGAATCTTGTATCGGCTCAGTCATGACTGATAATATCAAACGGTTCAGCCTGTGCTGTAATTGATTTAACATTGGAGGTATGTCTTTGTTACTGCATAATTCCTACAACCTACCTTTGTCCTAGATCTTTTACCCGTTCTCTGGACTCTCTGCCTCATGTGTTAAAAATGTGTTTTCATTTTCAGATATGCTACCTATCATGCAGCTACATATTCACAGAGCATCACGGTATCAGATTGAACATTCTTGGGTGCCATTTAACTTGATGATGTGTCTTGCATTGAGGCATATTTTAGCACATCCTTTGCAGTAAGACTTCTCGCTAATTCTGTGTCACACTCTGCCCTGAAACTGTTGTAAACAAA